GTGTGATTTCCAATTTGTTCTGTGTTAGTGTCCTCTGCACTTGTTACGGGTGGGCTTGGGTTCTGAGGTTGCATTTTGTTCCTTCTTGTCATTTTTGGTAGCACTGTCTTCTGACCTTTGTTGTACATCTTTGCTGTAGTTACAACCTTTGCACATACTGAAGTTCAGGTTCAGCTCTACAAAGTTTGGACTTATCCAGCTGTGTCTGGCTTTGGTCTGGCTGCTGTGCTCAGCTCCTTCCTGCTGCTTTCCTTGAGGGTGAACCTGTTGTGCCCCTGTGGCAAGATGTTCTCTTCCCGGACTATCTGGGTGGATCTATCCTCTACACTCTCTGCAGGGATTGCAGCTGCATGGTTACACCCCAGGCGTGTATGCCAGGCCTGAGCTGTGCCTGAAGTAGGGGGAAGCGGAAGCTCTCCCACACACTTACCGGACCTGGGCTAGGACTGGGTCTGGGGGTTCCCGGAACGCGGCAGAAATTCCTACTCGGGGGCGGGGTTGGGGAGGTGCTGCAGAGTGGTGGGGGGTGGCCCAAGGAGGTGGGAGAGGGTCTGGCCTACGCTGCGCCTGGGCTGGGACTGGTCCCGCAGGTGCAGGGTAGCAGGAAGCTCTCCCACACACTCACTGGACCTGGGCTAGCACTTTTATTTTTTTGAGATAGGGCTTCCTATGCAGTTTAGGCTGGCCTTGTGTTCACTTTTGTAGCCCCTGGGCTGGTCTGGAACTCACAGCAATCCTCCTGTCTCAACTTCCTGAGTACTGGTGATTATAGGCATGTGGCTCCATACCCTCCTCTTTTTGACCACTGATTTTTACATTCCTTAGTGATTCTTGCCACCAACAGTCACTACTGTGATGTTCTAATGGGAATTTGGTATTTTTTCATTCCTTCAACATTTATGATTCTTCTGGACTTCCAGGAAGATGGTGGAGTGAACAGCAGAGAGAGAACCTCTTCAAGACTTGGTGTCCAGGGCTGGGGAGATGGCTCAGTGGAATAATCACTTCCCTGGCAACTGCAAGGGCCTGAATTCAATCCCCAGTTCTGAAAAAAAAAAAAAAAAAAAAAGACTTGGTGTCCAAACACTGGAATACAGGAACATGAGGAAGAGATGAAGGAGGGAAGTGGGCCCCAGGACCCGGAAAGGGTCTGAGAAAGTATTGAAGCCCTTAAAAAAAAAAAAAAAAAGAATTGAAGCCTTTGGAGAGAGTGAATAGACTTCAGGGAAGAAGGAGTGGACCAGTGGTGTTTTCTCCCTAAGCCCTGAATCACAGTGTGATGGGTGCGGCTTAAACGAGTAGATGCCCAGGGACTACTGGCAACCCCAGAGGCCTCTACAGAGAAATACTGGTGGAACAGAGCAGTGGACACAGTGGACTGCAGTGGCTGGTGAATTATTTGAGTTTAGATGTCCCCCAGGAGAGGGGAAATGAGCTTAGAACTCAGAGCCACCATCTAGCATCTCCCAGTGTCAGGGGAGGCTGGCAAGTTCAAGTCAGCAAAAGGTCAAGAAGCCAGTTTAAGCTGGCAGAGAGACAGCAGTGTTTAAGCTGGCAGGGACACACAGAATGTTGCAGACTGAATGAATTGGGTCCCAGCCTCATAGCCTGAGCCTCAGTGGAACTAAAGGTTTAGTACAATTATCCACCACCCTCCCATAAAATTATAGCTGGCTTACTGGGAATCAGTCAACATGGATCTGGACTCTGTTTGCCCACATAGTCTACCGTTGACAGCAGAGACTTGCCTTGAAATAGACATTTTTTTTTTCTATTCTTAGTTTTGCTTTTCTTTGCTTGTTCTATTTTTTTTCCTTGATTGTTCCTATTTTCATATGAGTGTGAATATTGTTTTTGTCTCTGTATTGTGCTCTTTCTTTCTTTTTCTTTTTCTTTTTTTTTTTTTTTTTCGGAACCGGGGTTGAACTCAGATCCTTGCATTTGCCAGTCAAGCGCTTATCCTACTGAGCCATCTTCCCAGCCCCTGCTCTTTCTATTTCTTTTTTCTCTTCTGTCTTCTGCACCAGTTTCCCAAAGGTGGTATCATCTTTCTTTGTCCTCCAGCCTAATTGCTGGAGGAATTTGCTTTGTCCTCCTTCTAATTGCTTCCTCTGTTTCTTTTTTCCTCTTAACTCCTTTTAAATTTTCCCCCACAGAAGATAAAATCACGATACTGAGGGCTTATTTACTGTATATGATTTTTGAATTGTTTTAGATTGATGTAACCATAGATCTAGTTAATACAGATGAAGGGAGCAAATTAATATTTACCACAGTTTGTCACTTTTTTAGGCTGTGTTAGGCGCTATTGTTATTGCTGACTGTGCTGCTTTAGCTAAGGTGGCATAATTGTCCTAATCAGTTGATCTTCCTGATATGGCAAGACTGAGATTGCCTGCCTAAGGGT